CCTTTTGTATTTGTGGTATTAAACCACGAACTCAGTAATTAAATTATAGTATGTATACATAATCAAAATATGTAGAAATGGTGGTTGGAATCCTCTTGTCACAATGTTGAATTTCTAGTGGGTTTATACAGCAGTTCCTGTCAAAATTGCAGCTGAGCCTGATGACCTGAGTTCGATCCTAGGGACCCATGTGATGGAAGGAGAGCATGCACTCCATAACTTGTCATCTGACCTACACACACACACACACACACACACACACACACACACACACACACAAATGATTGTAATGTTTTTCAAATTAAAAGGATTAACATTTTTTGCTGTGTACTTTTGGAAATATAAAAGTCGAATTCTATTTTTATAGAATTTCATATTTTTCTTGAAAGAATATATATTTTGGTCTTTTTGAGACAGGGTTTCCCTGTAGCCCCAGTTGGCCTGGAACTCCATATGTAGACCAGGCTGGCCTTGAACTCACAGAGATGTGCCTGCCTTTGCCTCCTGAGCAAAGAATGAAAGAATATATTTGTACTGTAACTGTTCTGACTAGACATAGGAGGCATCTTGCTATGCAAAGGCTCTTAGCTAATTGTATATCCTGCTAGTTCTATTATCCTTAAGGACATCATACATTACATAGTTTTTATAGACTGAACATGGACTGGAACTTCTTTCTACTAATATCTAATTGCTTTTCTTGCTTTTTTGGTTATGAGCCTGAGCCTTTAACAGCTGTGCCTGCTTTCCAGCCCCTAATTACTTCTTAAAATTATAGTTAAATTTTATTGACTTTGGTCCCTAAAGTTAGTGTTAGTTATGATAGCACATCTTTAGTAAGTGTATAAATGTACGCATATGATACTTATCTTTAAAGGACATATGAAAATCAGGCATGAACACATGAAATAATATAGTATATAATACTATGGCATATATGGGATGATGGGCTGGAAGAGTCCACTATAAGGCCATTGGACATCTTGTGAACATTGAGACAAGATGCCACCACTATGGAAGGATTCTTGACGGTACAGGCCCTGACAAATAAGAGGACCCTGGACCAGAGGGGAGTGCCTACTTGTTCTGACACTTGTGCCTTTTTTTGGAGCATCAGCAGAAGGGCTGAGAAGGAATCTTGGAGTCACTCAAAAAGAAAAATGCCAGCATGGAATAGAGGGAACATGGTGGACTTGACATTGTACAGATTTGGCTTGAGTCTTTTTTTCATTAGTTACTAAGAGAGTGATTGGAGGGCTGGAAAGATGGCTCAGTAGTTAAGAATACTTGCTATTCTTTCAGAGGATCTGAGTTCAGTTTCCATTACCCATATCAGGTGCCTCATAACTGCTTGTAACTCCAGTTCTATGGGATCTCCAGTTCTTCTGGTCTCTGTGGACACCTGCATACCCATGCGCACAAACAGACACACCCACACATATTCACATAAATAAAAATAAATTGTATGAGTGTGGTCGAGCAAGTTTCTTACATACTCAAAACTTAAAACTTCTCATTAGTAAAATAAGGACAGTAATATTTATCTTGAATAATTGCTGTTAATTATTACATATGTGTACGTTTCTGGTGACAGTGTCCATAGCGTTTGAAAGAATCTTAGAAACATCTATAACCCCATAGAGGTTTCAAATATGAATGAAGAGAATCAGGCTAAATCTTATTGACACGTGGTGGGGGAGAAAGTGTGTGGCCCACACCATGTCACATGGTGCAACTTAGTTTTGTGAGACCTCGAATGGCAGGGCCTCTCCTAAGCCTCATTGACATGCCCCCTGCTGACCTGCAGCTACCACCAAGCCTTCCTTGAAGAAGTCAAATACTCAGGAAACAAGTTTGGGGAGTTTTTTTTCTAGGCATGGGAAAAATAAAACTTTTTGGTGCTGAGATTTCCTTTCATACATATTACATGCACAACTCATCTTGGTATGTTTGGACATGAAAAATTTGATTTTACATAAAATGTATTTCATACTTTGGTGAAGTCTTCAATAATAGGCTGCGAGTCACCTTAGTTGGTTGGTAGAGGGTGTGGAGAGGAGTCCCCATGAGCAGGGTGCTATGTTGAGACCAGGTAGCTCTCCTAGGCTGCTGGGGCAGGGTTCTAAGACTATAGCAGAGTCTCAGGTACACCAATGAGCAAGAACTGGAGGAGAAACCAGTAGTCACCTGGGTCTACAGCCAGTGAGGTCTGAATAAGGGCATGTCTTCTAGGCAGTAACTGGGCTCTGACCAATTTTGAGAGCCTGTTTTGTAATTATTCTAGCTTCAGGCTGCCCTGGAAGGTTGGCAGGACAAGAAGCAATTAGATGGATGGGAGATTAAAAAAAAAAAAAAAAAAAAAGCCCAACCTGGTACATCCCAGATTCAGTGGGAAGTCAAGTTACCCCTCCAGAAGACCCCCTCTCTTGTAACTCCAGAACCATCTTAAACAGAAAAGCAGGGCCATGGAGGTTACCTGAGGAACCAGACCTTTTGTAGTAGAGGCTGAGCACTGTCTGGAGGGATGGTATAAATGAGCAAGTTAGGGTAAACTTACACTGCATTGGCATTTATCTATTGACTTAAAAATGACCAAATTAATTATGGCAAAACCCAAGGAGCTGTCTCTTCTCTATGTATTTGAGTAATAATGAAGTGAATGTTATGACCCAGGTATTTAGTGACCCCTCTTCCCACTCTAGACACTCGCTCTGCTAAATTCTATCTAGGGACCTCTTTCGCAGTATCATTGAGGGATGGTTGTTCAGACTGAGCCTGGTTCCCTTCATTCATATTTTAAACTTCCAAGGGGTTGCAAATGCTTCTAAGATTCTTCCAAAAGCTATGGGCCTTGTCACCAGAAACATGCATACATATAAAAGTCTGTACTGTCACTTACTAGAACACACTCACTTTGCTATGGGTCAACCCCAGTTCTAGTCTTTGAAGCAAAGCTGTGTTCATCTGGCCTCCTTGAGAGTGCACGTCTGAAGACAATGACCAGTCAAAGAGCAGACCTGTGCTAAATTTCGTAGAGCTCCATTACATGCACTCTGCATCAATCACCTCCAGCTACTCGGAGAATGAGATCTTTGGAAGACAAGGATTTGTGCCCACGTGTCCACTGCTATATCAGAGCATCTAGATCAGTTTCATGTTTTTGGAACAGAAATTCTATAAAAACTTCTTGAGTTCTGGAAAGACATTGTTGCTGAAGACACCACATGCTATGGCTACAGGACACAGAGAAATTGGGCTGGAATTGGGCTGTAAGCTTCCTCCCTATTGACTAGTCCCTATAGTGCTCGAAAGTTCCATGATGCTGCTCAGGGGGAACTGCCATCAGCACTCTGAGCCAGATGAGGACCCCACATTCAATACTACTAAGATGCTAAGCACGATGTGCCCACTGGTACAATAGTGGCAGGTCTGCACAGGAGTAACCAACCATTTTGTGATTGAATTTGAGGCCCATTTTATAGAAAGTAGTCTTTTTTTTTTTTTTTTTTTTTTTTTTTTTTTTGTCTTTTTGAGACAGGGTCTCCCTGTAGCCCCAGCTGTCCTGGAACTCACTATATAGACCAATATGGCCTTGAACTCACAGAGATCCGCCTGCCTCTCCCTTCCAAGTGCTGGGACTCCAGGTGTACGCCACCAAGCCCAGCTGAAAGTAGATTTTATCTGGTACTGAAAACCTAGTCAAAAGACCAAGGCAGGGGTGTCATCGGCCCTAGTAGTGAAGTTGCTGCTGTTATTTTGCTAAATGGACAAGATGTGCTCATCCAATTGCCTTCCAAATAACTATGTTTATCCCCATAGATTAATACTGCTATCAGCCTTGGTCAGAGCAGATTCTTTAAAAAACAAGAGAAAATTATTTGCCTTTATTTTTATTTGTATGTTTGTTGCCTGCATGTATGTAAGTGACTCTGGTTGTGCCGTGCCCAAGGAAGGCCAGAAGAAGGCATTGGATACCCTGGAACTGGACTTTTGGATAGTTGTTAGCCACTGTGTGGGTGCTAGGAACTTAACTGGGGTCCTCTGCAAGAGCAGCCAGTGCTCTTAACTGCTGAGCCATCTTCCTAGCTCCAGAGGCCAGACTTTTTCCATTAGGGCATTCAACTGGTTGAATGAGGCCCAAGCACATTACAGAAGGTCAGTTGCAAACATTCGCTTTATCAGAAAGTGTTCTTACAGAAACCTCTAAAACTATGTCTGAGCAAATATCTGGCTAAAGAGAAGTTGACACATCAAATTAATCCTCACAGTACTGCTTAGGAAAACTCACCCCCAAAGCAGGGCGAGGAGACCCTCATTTTTATCCCACTGACCATTCTCATGCCTGGTTAGCTTCCTTGGAACCTCCCTCTGCACTGACTCATCTTGGGATGCCTTTTGCCAGTGTTGTTTCCCACATCACTGGAAGGAACACACCCTTCTTTCACAGTTCAGATCAAGTGTTAGCTCCATGATACCTTAATACCACACTCTATCCTGAAGATTTCATTCCTTCCTATTCCTTTATGCCACGGCTATTTTAGTGTTTGCTATATTGCCTCACTGTACATTAAACAACAGATCAGCAAAAGTGTAGGTTCTGGTTCCAGACTTCCTAGATTTAATTCCTCACCTTAGCAAAATACTCAGCTTCTCTATGCCTTAATTTTTAAATCTGTCAATTGGGGCTAGAATGGCGCTGACCACTTGGGGTATTGAGAGGATCTAACTGATTAACAGGTATAGAACTCTTAGAATGATGTTCTGGCATAGGCATGTTGCTTGGTGATAGAGTGCTTAACTAGTGTGGGCAAGACCCTGGACTTGATCTCCGTCATTGAAAACAAAGAAAAGTCAAACAACCAAAGAACCAACCAATCAACCAACCAACCAACCCAACCAACCAAACCACAACAGCAACCACCACAAAAAAATATCCAGCATATAGTGATCACTCAGACTGATATTTATTTTAATTCTTACTGTCACTTTTGCTACCTGATTTCTGTGTCATGTGGAAAGGTTAGGTACTTCTTAAGGAGAGAGACATCATCATATTTTCTTTGCACTCTTCTAATACTGCAGGGAACAGACCAAGGCTCTACGGACACTTAGCAGAGTATGTGATACCTTATGCTCTCAGAGCACTCGGGTTATAACATCACCTATTTAAACCTCACCAGAAGCTTGCAATGTTACTATTGCCCTTCTTAAAGAGGAGGAAACCAAGAATCAGACAGTAAGTGAATCGCCTAATGTCACACACAACTGTCAAGTGCCTGACTCTCCAATTAAACTCCAAGGTCATCGAAGAGAAGCACAAGTGTCCTGGTTATTGGGAGAGGTTTTCTTTGCTAGCCCAGCCACCCCTTCAAGTCCTCCCACATCCTTTCTACCAAGAACAGGGAGTTTGCAGTGAGAAGGCTGGGAAAAAGAGGCCCCCATTGATTACAGACTGACAAAGGACAAAGTATGGGTGGGAAGCAGCTTTCAGTACAGGATATCCTCAGCGGTGACCGTGGCCTCTTCCATTTTGGTCTTGATCTCAGGGAGGGGAATCTGACTGATTGCCACCACAACCAAGTTTGCTGCGTGGGCCGAGGCGCTTGCAACGCAGATCCAAAATGACTCTTCATACCGTTCTTCCACTACGACAAACTGAAAGAACCTCTCCTGGAAGTTGGCGATTCGTTCTGTCAGGTTGTGAAATTTCACAGCCGCCATGAAGCTGGTGATGGCTAGAGCCACGACTCCACCTGAAACCCAAAAGATCACCTTCATTCACCGCTCCTCTTCGCAGTAGTAAGGACTCTATTGAGGGGGTACCTTCTGTGCCACACAAAACAAAGCATTTTGGGTTTAAATAATATAACAACACAAATTTCAATTTGCTTTTAAAAGTAGCAGATAATCCACACAGTGTGAGGGGCAAGAAGCAGGGTTGTCTGGAAAGAGAACAGGCTTCTCCTCAGATGCTCTATCAGGAGACTGCTCGCTAAACGCCTTATGACTTCTGTTGCTGTGATAAAACACTGACCAAAGGCAACTCAAGTTGGTTGGAGGAAAGGATTTGTTTCTTCTCATTCTTTCAAGTGACAGTGCACAGTGAGGGCCGTGTGGGAAGAAGTAAGAAGATCCCAGGCTACAGGCTGACGTTTCACCCTAGGGCCAGACTACTCTATAGAAGGCAGAAACTGGAGAGAAGGAAACTCTGGAATTCCAAACCTCATTTATCTCCCTATCAACTGAGAGGAACTTTGACATTCTGGTTTTCTGTTTCTCTTTCTCTCTCTCTCTGATTTAAATTGATATTCAAATAATACCCATTGAGTCAGGTATGGTGGTGCATATCTGCAATTCCAACACTGGAGAGGCTGAGGCAAGAAGATTGAAAGTTTGAAGGTAACTGAACTACACAGTGAGATTCTGTCTCAATTTTAAATTAATAAAAAATATTTTATTTATTATTTTTATTTTATATGTATGCATGTATTGCCTGTATGTATGCAAGTGCACCCATGTTGTGCAATGCCCAAGGAAGACAGAAGAGGCCATTGTGTCCTCTGGAACTGGAGTTGCAGTTGTTAGCTGCTATGTGGGTGCTGGGATTCCAACCCGGCTCTTCTACAAGAACAGCCAGTGTTCTTAACCTCTGAGCCATCTCTCCAGCCCCTGTCTCGATTTTTTAGAAAGAAAAAATAAAACAAACAAAAACCTATTTTTAGTTACGTATGGTGACTCAAACCTTGTCCTGGTGAGCTTTTGTCAACTTGATACTAACTAAAGACACCTGGGAAGACGGAACCTCAATTGAGGAATTTCCTCCATGGGATTAGCCAGTGGCTAATTTAAGATCACTTTAATACTAATTTTATTAAAAAGAAATAAATGTACAGAAATATATTAATGTGTACAAAGTATTCATACCTGGCCTTTAGAATGAAAGTAAATTTATATTTTCCATGCTTATGATCATCTCTGGCATCCAAATTTATTTCAGTAACTATGTAATCGTTAAAAAGCATAATGAGGGGCTGGAGAGATGGCTCAGTGGTTAAGAGCACTGATTGCTCTTGCAGAGGGCCTGGATTCAATTCCCAGCACCTGCATAGTGGCTACAAACTGTCCTTAACTCCAGTTCCAGGGGAATCCAAAGCCCTCTTCTGACCTCTGCGGCATTGCATGACACGGGTGCACTCACATACATGCAGGCAATACACTCATACACATAAAATAAAAACAATAAATAAAATATTTTTTTAAAAGCATAATGAAAGGCTGGAGAGATGGCTCAGTGGTTAAGAGCACTGGCTATTCTTGCAGAGGACCTGAGTTCACTTCCCAGTACCCACATGGTAGCTAACAACCATCTGTAACTCCAGTCCCAGGGGATCCAACACCCTCTTCTGACCTTCGCAGGCATTGCATGACACGTGTACACTGACATACTGCAGGCAATACATGCATACACATAAAACAAGCAAAAAACAATAAAATTAAAAAACATAATGAATATATCTTTTTTTTTTTTTAAAGAAAGGGTTTATTCTGTAACCTAAGCTTGCCTCCAATTCATGGTGATCCTCCTGCTTCAGTCTCCCAAGTGCTGAGATTACAGGTACATCTTTGTTTTCTGTTGCTGTGATAAAACACTGACCAAAAGCAGCTTTGTGCATATCAATATATTTCTATACATTTATTTGTCTTTAATATTAGCATTCAAGTGTTGTTACTTTGATTTCACATTTGAATTTTTCCACTTTTCTGGAAGTGTTCCATGTTGTTAAATATTCTACACGTATACAACTTTAGAGATTTATTGTTATTACTTTTAAGCATGGGTTTATGTGTATGTCTATGTGTACATACACATGTGCATGTGAATGCAGTATCCTTTGGCACCAGAAGTGGGTGTTGGATCTCCTGGACCTGGAGCTACAGGTGGTTGTGAGTTGCTCAAAGTGGGTACTGGGAACTGAACTGAGGTCCACTGGAAGAGCAGAAAGCTTTCTTAATCACCAAGTCATCTCTCTGGTCCCTATAAGTGTACAACTTTAAACAAACGCTACTATTTTATTCTGGAGACGTGCTTTACTTTCTGAGAATTGAGATGACACTGTGAATTGCTGTGGTGAAACCCACCTCACATGCATCTCTCTGTCCTCATCTTCCTCTTTCCTTCGTATAAACCCTTATGTGAAATTCTTCAGTCAAAGGCTATTCATATTTTATGCTTTTTGACAATATTTTTCTTCTAATTGTCCATTTTTATGCTGTCATAAGTGGAATTTGAGAGTTCTAGCTTTGTGAGGAAGTAAATCCTACTTAATGAGTAGAATTGAGTTTTTGTACTATGAAGGTCTGTAGAGAGGTGAACGAGACACCTGCATTCTAGGTGACCATAGAGGGTGGCTACTGTAAACAAAGGCAAAAACACAATAATTATTTATTTATATCACATTTAATATATGATCAAATAACATTACCTGTTTTTACCTGAAGACTGCTAAGGAGATGGGAGGACTAATTATCCCTTAATAAGATGGTGTACTCATGCTTTCTGGCAGCTCCTCCCTGGGTGCAGTTATGTATGGAGCCTGCCAGCTTTTCTAAGAAAAGTGTAACTTTCCCTTTTATTCTCTATATCTTTGTTTTGGATTATGGCCCAAAACCTAAGTAAGCATGCTTTCCCAGAGACCTTGGGCTTTCTCACGCATTCTGTGAAGCTCCGCTCCTGTTCCACCAGGCAGCTGTTCACTGACCTCTATTACTGAGGAGGTCCTCCGTCCTGCCTGCTTTCTTGAAAGCATGGACTTTCTTTCTCTTCTCCATTTCCCTCCCCAGCAGCTACCCAAGATTTGTAGCTTGCCAGCTCTGTTGTTTTTCTCTCAAACTAATAAAATTGTCCTCAAGCTTCTATTTGAGTCTTTTATTAGCAAGGCTAAGAATCCAAAAAGGGAACCCTAAGTTTCCCTGGTAACACCGGGAGCCCAGCCTGGTAATGGTGTGGATACTAATTTCTCTCTGTAGGGGGCTTCTTACCTGCCAGAACGTTCCAAAGGCAGATGCCACCTGGGCCATTGACTGCCCTGTAGGGAACCTGAATGATATTGAGAATGGCAAAGCCCATGCTGACCAGAGCCAGGGCCAAGGCCAGGAAAAGGAGCAGCAGAATCATCACGTGGAGGCCTGCGTTGAGCTCCTTCACCAGGTGTGGGAAGACTGTGGAGAGAAGCAGATAATGGAAGGTCAAAGTATGATCCTTACATAAAGCCCAGCCTTTGTTCCCATGGGGACAAGGCAGTAAGTGCTGGATTCTCAAAAAGCAAGAGGCTTTCTGAGTGGATCCATGGACCCTAGAGTTGCCACTTGTCAGCTGCCCAGCAATCTTCTTTGTATTGGAGTGGACACAAATCTGAATGTGCCCATGGTTGACAATTGACACTGTACTGACTGTGCGGTCCTGGGATCTGGTATGAACTCTGCACACTGCACACAAGTCCTTAGGTACCGACTTAGCAAGGTAGATATTATTGTCCCAGGTATCAATAACATTTAATGCTCGTACTCTATAGTGCTTCATGAAAATATTAATTTTCCATATGAGCATGGCAGAAGAGGTTAGCGAAACATCCATTTGTATTTGTTTTTCTCTATTTGCCACCAGTCCTAGTGGAGAAAAGGAAATGATGTACTGAGAGTAGTTCAGATATTGCCTCAGAAATGACAGCTGTGGTGTGATGATTACTGTTGCTATTTTTACTCTCTAACTTGGGAAAGCCATGTGCCTTCTCAGAGTCTCAGTTTCTTTATCTGTACAATGGGAAGTTCGTAATGGTTGCAGGAGCTGAGAGGAATTGCCTTTTGCTGTGCACAGTTACAACTGAACACTTTGCAGCCATGATTTCATTCAATCTTCATGATGAAGACATGAGGTAGAGGTTGTCAACTCTCTTCACCCACAGGTTTGGAGACACAAAGTCCATTGTCTTTAGGCAAGGGAACCTTAAAGTCTATGTGGAATTATAGTGTTATGTATTCCATTTGGTATAAAGAATTTCAAGTCAGTTTTAGCAATTACACATGGAGAATTTAAAACAATGAATACTGAACATCCTCTGGGCAGACTCATTCCTCTGCAAGAACTCCAAGTTTCTACTGAATAACTTCCGGTAGGATCTGGGTCTATCTTGTGAGCTCTGAGCTTTTTTGTACATTTGGTAGCACTGTCCAGTTCTCGTTTGTCCCCTGCTCATCCCTACGGCATGACTCTCACTGACTCTTTCGCCTCGGGTCCCTTTGCTGCATCACCTGTGTCCTTTTCTCTTTCACTGAAGGCTGGTGTCTCCCAAGTCCGAGAAGGAGATTTTTTTGTTCTTCTCCTTGTCAGGTGTCCTTCCAGCGCACAGGTTTCTGTACCCACATCTACGTCTCAGTTCTGATTTAACATTCTTTCCAGTTCTGTGTTTCCACTTACCATTTTCTCCACATGGTCATCTTGGGCTTTGGAAACTTTAGCTGGGAAGATGAGCTTCTTTCCGGGGAGTCTGTCTTTCTCAGATATCTTTCTTCTCTTTGTTTCCATTCCAGTTCCCTTCTCTTAGAGCCCCAACACCCATTTTCAAATCCAGAGCCTGTTCTTATTCCAGGTACAGTTGCTTAAGCCTGATTGTCTCATTATCCCCTTTCTTGATCATACAATCCCTAGGACTCATGACTAGCATAGCAATATTCACCAAACCCTTGAAATAGAAAATAGTCACTCACATGATTGGCAGAGTTTAGCACTTCAGTACTCCTTGTTGATGGCATGGGGAAGGCACACTTGAATCTTGTAGAGATGCTCATTCCTGCATCCCTGTTAAAGGGCAACTTGGTAACATCCATCAAAGCAATTTCATTTCTAGGGATTTATTTTCCAGACACACTCCAGTATATGCTTCAAGTTGTGTATATCGGATGCTCATTACAACAGCAAATGATTAGAGGAAAACCAGGAGACTGACTGATGACAATACAGCTTTTGAAAAGAATCAGTCACATGCACATGATGATATAAACCCATATTTGGAATTGATGGAGTGAAAAATTGAAAAATAACCTCATTATGATGATGAGGAAGAAGGAATTTAGGGCAGGCAAAGTGATGTAGAGAGGAAGGTAAAGAGCACCCAGTCCTCAGCCTCCATAACTGGAAATGTCTAGGGCAGGCAAAGTGATGTAGAGAGGAAGGTAAAGAGCACCCAGTCCTCAGACTCCATAACTGGAAATGTCTTAGTTACACTAACAAACATTATTGGCACAGGGTGAGTCTCTTCTAACCCTCACATTCTGCTTTACCCCAGATCAGGATCTCCCAGTTAACCTAGGTTTTAATTATTTTTCCTGTGTCACTATCTAGAAATTCAAGTCTTTTCTTGGGACCGTCAGTATAATAATTATTTCCATTTGTTTTGAGGGGAGCTCCACACTTGATCCTGTCACACAGCACCACCCTCAGGAAGATATTTCTCACTTGCCTTTCATGTTTCTGCCATTCCAAGAGTTTTAGGTATGTCTTAATGAAACTGAAGTTTGCAGCTTGAAATCCACAGCTATAAAAAACATAAAACTCATGACCACCATTGATAACTAGGTGCAGGTTGTCGGCAAGCACTTCATACACATTCTTTCTTTTCCTGCTCATGGCTACCCTCTCTCATGGTATGTGTGTATGTGTGTGTGTGTGTGTGTGTGTGTGTGTGTGTGTGTGTGTGTGCATGCCCCTGCACATGTGCTTGCCTGCGGAGGCCACAGGTTAACCTTGGGTATGGTTCCTCAGGAGCCAGCCACCCTGTTTGAGTTTATGTGTGCGTGTATGTGTATGTTTATGTGGATGTGCGTGTGGGTGTCATTGTGCCTGCAGAGGCCACAGGTCAACCTTGGGTGTTTCTCAGATGTCATCCACCTTGCTTTTGAGAGAGGGTCTCTCACTGGGGTCTGGGGCTGTTTGATTAAGCTACACTGGATGGTTAATGAACTCTAGGAATCCTTCTGTCTTTGCCTCTCCAGCACTGGGATCACAAATGACAGCCACCATACTGGGTTTCCTACATGTATGCTGGGCATTGAACTGAGGTCCTCTTGAATGGTAAACACTTTACTTACTGAGTTCATTTCCCAACTCACCTTCTCTCATTCTTACAGATGGGGAAACTGAGGCTCAGAGAAGTTAAATATCTTAGTCAAAGCCACACAGTCAGGAAGTGTTGCTTTAACTATTCTGCTAAAGGGCTTATGAGAAAAAAAATCAGAAAACTTAGATGAACAAAAGCTTAAAATTTTAGTCATACCTCAAATTCTAGTGGACTCATTTTGAATTTGAATAATATTCTTTTGTATACATTAGAGTTATCTCATCTGAATACAGAACTTGTATTCTACCATCTTCTTAAACTTAGATGATGTGTTTATTAAAAGAGTGGTCTTTTGCCCCAGCAAGGCTAATAAATAAGACAGAATTGGAAGTCAGACTCTGATCCTGGCCTTTGGGGGATACTTGGGAAGTGGGGTTATAGAGAAGGCACTGGAGAGCTAAAACTGTAAAATACCTTTATGCTAGGAGCTTTTACAGATGTTATTTCATGTACTGATGTACCTGATCCTCAATTTCTTTCCTAGTAAAGTGGCATGATAAAATTATCTTTTAGCATCATCAGGCTCAAGGAAATGAACTGCAGGAATAGCTACAGATAGGAATCCCTGTGACTGTCCACGTACGCTCTGCTTCTCCTTTGCTACATGGGGCAGGCACTTGTCTGTTTTGTTTGTTCCTTTTTCTGATGACATCTGGCCTTCAGGTACCCAATTGTACATGGAATGCATGCATATTGTTCATTTAATGACTGCCCCTTTCTTTCTGGCAGCCACCCAAATAGCCTAATCAACCTGTCTTTATCTCAAAGTTGTAGGTATAATAAAAAGGATCTTAGAGGTTGGTGGTGAGTAGTTCCTTTGTTTTTCCCATGATGACTGTGGGACATGAGTCCCTTGGGTGAGTCTCTGGGAGCTTCTGTGATGGCAAGGATAAAAACGCCCCACTCTTGGGGCTGGATAAATGACTCAGTGGTTAAGAGTACTGACTGGTCTTGCAGAGGACTCAGGTTTGGTTCCCAGGACCCATATGAATGGCTAACAACTGTCTGTAACTCCAGTTCCAGGGGATCTGACACCCTCTTCTGACCTCCATGGACATTACACAACACAGGTGTACTTATATACATGCAGGCAATACATTCAGACACATAAAAATAATACAATATTTAAAAAACCTCCCCACTAAAGTTTGCAAAGCACTTTCGTAAGCTCCTCTCTGCTGATCTGCACACAGCTCTATGAACAGGACTGATTTTCGGCGGACCATCAGAAAGTGGGAAATCCTGTCAAGGGCAGGAGACACCGATATTCTTCACAACTGCCCATGTCTACATTGTGCTGGAACTGAGTGTTGTGAATCTGAAGGGCTCTAGATTGACCATAGAGAAGAACATAATACACACAATGTCCCCTAGCTGCAGCAGTTAAAGTGAGCCGATCACAGGAAAACCTGGCCCTGGCTCCTGTGAAAGCTTTCAAACAGAATCCCTTCCAAGGCACTGTAAATGAAAGCACATGCCCTCCCCTGGGCTGACCCAAAAGCAGCTGGAAACAAAACAGTCTCAATACTGCCTAACAACTAAACATGAAATATCCTCTACACAGATCCCAGAGTTCTGATGCCTGAGACCAGAGGAACCCCAGGGATGGTGCCCATGGGTGTCTTTCCAAGAGGGAAGAAGCAGACCAGAGAGGGCCATTTATTGGGTTTTTCCAAAAGGCAAACAGAACGTACTCATTGCTATGGCTTCCCACTAGAAGCAGTTTAAATATCTGGGAGTTGAGGATGGCCAGGGTCTTACTGTTAGGGTACCACTGGCACCTTAGGAGACCACAGGCACATGGCTGCCCCGTGATCCTCACATCCACTCAGGTTTCACAAGTGTCCCAGTGGCACCCTAGGCAGCCAGAGCATCCAGATTAAAGTACTGCATATAATTTATCATGCTATACTTTTCACATTTATTTTAATTTCTTTGTTTATATGTATGTTGTGCTTGTTGGGTTTTTAGTCTGAGTGCAGTATATGTGTGTGAATGTGGTGCATGCTTACAGGTGTTTGTATGTGTGTATATGCCTGTTCACAGGCTTATAAAGGCCAGAGAAAGACTTTGTACCTCCTGGTTTTCACTCTTGCCTTATTTCTTTGAGAATCGTGAGCCTGGAGCCTGGTTTGTAGCCAGTAAGCTCCAGTGTCCCTCCAGTCTCTGCTTCCCATACACCTTGGGGTTACAGGTGTGCATGTGGCCACTCTTGCTTTTTACATGCATGTTGGGGATTTGAACTCAGGTCCTCATGCTTGCCCCGCAAGCATTCTTACCCATTGAGCCATCTCCTCAGTTCCCTATGGTTGTGATTTTAATAGAGCCATTTTCCCAATAGTTAAGATCTAATTAGTTGCTAAGATTAATATACTCAGATTTTTTCTAAAGAAATACAAACAAACATGTATTTCCTTCATATATAGAACTGATAACAGACTGTGTCATATTTGTCAATGGGTCCAAGTTTCTTCTTCTTTTTTTTTTTTCGGTCTTTTTGAGACAGGGTCTCCCTGTAGCCCCAGCTGGTCTGGAACTTGCTATGTAGACCAAGCTGGCCTGGAACTCAACAGAGATCTGCCTGACTCTGCCTCCCACGTGCTGGGATTAAAGGTGTGCACCACCATACCCGGCTTAATGGGTCCAACTTTCTATCTTTATGTATTTAGTAAGATACATGTCGTGGCCAGGTTTCTAAACATTACTACAATTCTGAGGTACAGAAATCAAATAATGTATAAGATTTCTGATCCTTTTGCACTGAAAAGGTTTTGATTAATTGGACAGTATTTGCACTTGTGAGCTAATTGTTTTTTTTTTTTTTTTTTTTTTTTTTTTTTTTTTTTTCTCCCTGTAGCCCCAGCTGCTCCTGGAACTTAATGTAGACTAGGCTGGCCTCGAACGCACAAAGATCTGCCTGCCTCTGCCTCCCAAGTGCTGGGATTAAAGGCGTGTGCCACCACGCCTGGACAATCTAATTGTTTGATTCAATAGAATACTGTCTTGCTTGTTTGCTTTCTCTTTCCCAAAAGACTTGCACTGTTTACATCCCTAGTGGTTCTGAACAAGACTGAATTCAGGCCAATGCCACTGGCCACTCACCTCCTAGTAGTCAAGTATCCTTGCCCAAGTATCCTGCCAGGAAACAACCCAGCTGCTCTTCGAACCCCAGGTGTGTGCTCCCAGCACCCACGTACAGACCACTCTGTTGTTTCTCAACAGCTACGAAGCTTTCCTATACATGGGTGAGGGAGCATTCTGCTTCCTAGAGGTCCCCTTCTATGGGCAGTCTGTATCTGCATTTGTGGTTAAGGCAAACAGAGTCACATGGCCTGGGTCTGGCATCAGGTACTGTTGTTTCCTGGCTGAGAAAGTGGCCCCAGGAAAATTATTTAACTCCTCCAAGCCTCATTGTACTTGGCTGCAAAATGGGTGCATTAATGATGCTTTCCTTCTAGGTGTGTTGAAAAGCCAAAAAGAGAAAAGCAGTACACAGCTACTGGTGGGATGCTGACAGAAGCACTTGAGATTCTGTTACATATTAGCACTCGAAATAAACTACAAAACATGCAAATTCCTATTTCTAGTGTCTCTATTGATCTCTATGAGGGAAAGGAAGAAAGATATTTTCTTTGTTGCCATACAAGAGCCCTCAGCTGTCTATAGGCTCTGACATTATATTTTAGATTGAGGTGGCAATGAAATCTCACATTTAGACACAGACAACCTTATAAGGTAAATAAAGCATGCACATCAGTTTCACACCCCCAATATACTCACTTGTGAATTGGGACTGGCGGCCCCCAAGCCCGCATTGCCGAACCTTACACCCTCGGAAGAGCCCATAGTAAATGTCCCCAATGAATTTGACCAACTCTGGGTCCGAGGCATTGACCAGATCCACTCCAGTTTGACACAGGATTTTCCCGCTCAGCCAGTGGGGCACAGCCAAGGCAACGATGATCAGGAAGAAGGAGGAGAAGCTGAGTAGAGATGCCAGCCCGTACCACGTCTTTTTGAACCATCCAGGCATGCTAGTGAATGCAGGTCATCCCCCAGGTCTCTGGGCAGCAGTAGGGCATGTGGACATCTTTTAGACACTCGGCAATAGCCTGCTGCAGGGCCAACTCTTCCAAACACACCAACTCAAGATTTCCTGTCCATCTCCTCATCCTCCCTCAGTGCCTGCCTCCTCAGCCTGTGTTTACTACACTCACATCTTGAGCGTCTGCAGACAATCTTCCCCTGACTCGGTGTAACGGAGCATGTTACAGAAGAAAGTAACCCTATATCTCCCACTGGACTAGTGTTTCAGCAGAGCCTCTAATTGTTCCCCGTTCACGTATTTAAGTAACCCCAGTGTGGACCCCGTCATGACCAGAGAGTTATTGCTAAGCAAAACCAGTAAACCTGATGATAAAGAGGTTCTAACCAGAATTTTTAAAAAATGCACATGGCAGAAACAAAACAAAAACAGAATGATAGCACTCACACGTTGCCAACAATGCACAGGATCAAATGTCGATCTCTTCCAGGCATGCCCTGGCATTTCTTTCTCTAAAATGTCACTGCTGTCAGAATCCCAGAACTGTTACTAATACATGAAATGACTCTGGTTCTAATAGAAATCTATATACTGGGACTTTATCGATTTATCAGTAACAGAACCTGCAAAATGAAATCTATTTGCTGTGATTGCAGGGTCAATCTGGACCCTAATATTTACCGTTCCTCTCTTCTGCTCCCACTTTTCAGTGGCATCTTACATGGGCCAGAAAAGTTTCTTTGCCTTTGAGACAGGGTCTCAGACCTTGAATTTGCAAGCCTCCTCCTCAGACTCCTGAGTACTGGGATTATAATCATAAACCTCATTGCCTGGCTGAAAAATTCTCCTCTAAAAGTGAATATCTAGCTCTTTATAAATTTTGACAATCTTATACATGTATGTAATGTATTTTGATCATATCCATCAGCCTTTACCCTTTCTTATCCCCTTCCCACTCCCTCTGGACCCCATCCTCCCAACAAGTGCCTCTGTCTTTTCATTTCAGTTTGTAGACCCTAGGAATGATTATTCCCTGCTTTTTAAATGCTGTGGTTTTGGGGCTGGAGAGATGGCTCAGTGGTTAAGAACACTGACTGCTTTTCAGAGGACCCAGGTTTGATTCTCAGCACTGACATGGTGGCTATGAACCGTCCTTAACTCCAGTTCCAGGGGAATCTGAAGCCCCTGTCTAACATCCGCAGCATTGCACAACATGGGTGTACTCACATATATGCAGGCAATACACTCATACACATAAAATAAAAATAAATAAAATACTTTTAAAAAATATGAAAATAAATAAATACTGTTTTAAAAATTTTTTGACTTTTGCTATATTGTTGAATATCAAATTAATGTCACATGAGACTGGCAACAGCTGTTCCAAGAATACCACTGGGGAGCAAAATTGGGCAGAGGTAGCAACAGTAAAATTAGTTTCAAAACTCGGGATGGGCTGGTGGAAGTTGTGTCCTTTGCCAGTAGGAACCTTGGGAATCTTTCAAGGAGACGATTGAGCAGACATTGGGACACGTTTTAAAAGTGACAGGATCCCTCTTTAAGAGGAGTCTCACTACAGGGGCGGCTCCATAGTGAAAATAAAGAACAGTATTCCTGAAGCTTGTGTGGTGCTGTACTGTTTGATTTCAGTTGTCAGCTTGACACAGCTGGGAAAAGGGAACCTTATTTGGGGAAATTGTCTACGGACTGGCCTGTGGCCACGTCTAGGGGCATTTTCTTGATTGTTGAGTGCCGTGGAAGGGCCCAGCCCATTGTGGGTGGTGCCACCCCTGGGGCAGATGGTCCTGGGTTGTGTAAGAAAACAGGCTGAGCACCCACCAGAGGAGCAAGCCAGTAAGCAACATTCCTCCATGGTCTATGATTAAGTTCCTGCCTCCAGGTTCCTACCTGGGTTCCTGCCTGACTTTCCTCTAAGATGGACTAGACTATCTATGGGAGTTTTAAAACAAAAAAACTCTTTCCTCCCCAAGTTGATTCTGGTCAGAGTGTTTTCAGACAAACCAAAGTAGGACAGGTGCTCTACCAGGTAGAAAGGGCTTTAGCTTGTGCTTCTGCACCTCCAGTGCTCCAGCAACCCTTTGGCCAAGGCAGCGTTTTTCTCATGGGCAAAGTGAACAACACGAGGGCTGGATTGTAGGTCTTTGAAATACAGCAGCTCATCTTCACACAACAGCCTTGAAACGGCAAATGATTATCTGCCAATAAATGACACAAAGCATTTAAAAGCCTTAGAAGACAGACTGGAGAGATGGCTCAGTGGTTAAGAGCACTGACTGCACCCATGTGGCAGCTAGGAACCATCCTTAACTCCAGTTTGAGGGGAATCAGACTCCTTCTTCTGACCTCTCAGGCATTGCATGACTCGCGTTTATGCAGGCAATACACTCATACACATAAAATGAAAATAATAAATAAAAATTTAAAAAATTATTTTTATTTTTTTCATATTATTTTTTATGGTTAAGAGCACTGACTGCACCCATGTGGCAGCTAGGAACCATCCTTAACTCCAGTTTGAGGGGAATCAGACTCCTTCTTCTGACCTCTCAGGCATTGCATGACTCGCGTTTATGCAGGCAATACACTCATACACATAAAATGAAAATAATAAATAAAAATTTAAAAAATTATTTTTATTTTTTTCATATTATTTTTTATTTTTCTAGAAGAAGTTGTAGAATCTAGTTAAAGAAGCAAGTCGGTGCATGCATCTCTAATCTGTATGTATCTGATTATTACTAGTCATCATCGGTTGCACTTGGATCCTTGGCGCCTGTGTATGTCATCGGGTAGATGTCAGTGGTAATGTTTATCACCTCTACTAATTAGCATGATGTAAATTTCCATGCTTCCTCCTCAAATATAATACTTTTTTAATTTTTGTTGATTTTTTTGTGTATGTGTATATCACACAGAATATCCCAATAAAATATTTTTTAAAAAAGCCTTAGAAGACTATTTGGCATATTAATAAATGGCAAAAAATGTTGGCTAACACCCTTATTTTAACATTAAGAATGTTTTCAGCAGATAGGATATACATACTGTTTTGGGGTCACATTTTTATAATAAATGATGGACGTATATCAGCTTTTGATGTTTTGGGGGTTAAGCAATTATTTCAGAAAAACTTTGTAGTTAATACTAGACCTTTTAGCAAGCTCATATCATGCTGCGAGATGTGGTTAGTGCAGGTGTACTTAAGATCACCTGTAGCTATGGAAGACCTGGCAGGTGTCTGAGACCCCCATGTTTTATTTTTCCAATCGGTCCTAGGATTGTTGTGTGCAGTAAAGGGAACTGACACACGGATCATTTGGCATAGTGCATGACATTAGAAGGATGCAAAACAGCTGTGCCTTTCCCTTCATCACGTTTTACAGCAGTTCTACTTCTGATAGTGCAGCATCTGACAGGAAATGTGCTGCAGGCTGCGTTCTGCTGTGTATTGACTTAGGTCTGCAGGTCTTATCTGATACAGGAAAAAGCTGCGTCTGTTGTGTACAAGGCACCATGTGGGCTGGTGGTGCACAAAGGTGTTTAATATAGTGTGTTTATTTAGAAAGCTACAGTATGGTCAGATGTTGGTTTTTACCAAAAGGTGATTTTATCCTTTGAGGGATATTTGGCACTACTTAGAGTTTTTTTAATTTTTTTATTTTTCTGGTATTGTGGATTAAACTCAAGCACTTACGCATGTTAGGCAAACACTCCAACATTGAGCTACATCCCCAGCCCTCTTTTTAAAACATATTTTATTTATTAATTTATGTCTATGAATGTTTTGCCTGCATGTATATAACTGCACCCATGTCATACAATGCCTGTGTCTCCTGGAACTGGAATTATGCTGGGATTTAAACCCAGGTCCCCTGCAAGAGTAGCCAGTGCTCTTAACCGCTGAGCCGTCTCTCCTCCCCTCCAAACCCTCTTTTTATTTTGAGACAGGGTTTCACTTGCCCAGTCTGGTTCTGTACTCATTCTGCAGCCCAGGCAAGCCTTGAACTTGTGATTCTCTGCCTCAGCCTGTGGAGTAGCTAGAATTCCAGGCCTGTGCTACCACACCTGCTTGGGTATATTTCTGATCTTTAGGACTAGACAGGGGCTTGCTTCTGGCTCCTGGGGTAGAGCCCAGGGATGCTGTGAATATTCTGTAACCCATAGGCCAATCTCCTTTGCAGTGATCTGGTTCCAAATATCAGCAGGGCTTCAGTTGAGAAACCCAAAGTCGATTCAGGCCATGAGCAGAAATGACTATCATACACAGGTAAGACGCCAGGATGGGTGGATGACCTCATTTGGTGGGCCTCAAATGTAGATCTTGGATATTCTTGGCATGTGGAAGCTTACACGCAGCCACAAAGGTGTAAGGACAGGCCCAAGACTTAATTTAGGCTAACCTTGAGCCCCCACCAGACCAAAGCCTGTCAATGCTATAGACTAATCATTTAAAAAATACTGTAATATTTCTCTATAGTATTCTTTAAGGGCATTAATCTCTGAAATGCAAACATTTAAACTAAAGAGTACTACAGGTTTTGCATCACTATTTTGGTAAATTTTATTTTAAAATATGTCCCCAAATACATCATCTCACATTTGTAAAAAGGGACGAGACCCTGGAATCACCTCTAGAAGACTCAAGTTATTTTAAAGAAGCAAAGTACTGATAAAACTAATAATAATGATCAACTGGCAACTATTGAGTTCCTCCAACTTAGCAACACACTGCTGTATGCATTATCTTTTGCAATCCTTTCTTAGACTCTAGGGGGAAAAATTGTTATTCTTGTTTAGCGAGCAAACTGAGTCACGGAACAGTTGAGGAAGTCGCTTAGGCTACACAGCTATTACAGTACGACCAGGCAGAGTTCTCCGCATTTTGGGAGGTTTGGCGTCTGCAATGACTATCAGCAGTGGCTTTGGTCCTAGCACTTCTACACTAGGCGGTCAGGCAAGGGACGTAGGCGGGTCTTTGTTGGTGTCCCAGTCCCAGGGCCGGGCGGGAATATCCAGAGCATGCGCCCGAGCGGCTGCGCGCCTATTGGCCTATGGGAAAGGGCAGGACGCAGTCCAGAGTGCGCTGCTGGGCGGCCGCCCTCCTATTGGTCCAGGGGCAGGCGAATGGGCGGGGCGCAGCCGAGAACACGCGCCAATATAGCCGCGCTCCTATTGGCCCACGGTCAGGGAGGCACGGCTCTAAGCAGTCTGCACCCCGGGCCAGAGTGACAAGAGACCGCACGCCCCCTCAGCGGCTGCGCTCCTATTAGTCCAAGGAAGGGAGGCGTGGTTTTAGGAGTCGCCCCATTCGGAGAGGAGCGGCAAGACGAGGTCACGTGGCCCACATACTACGCTCCCCTTGGTAGACAGGTGGAGGGCGGGGCTTCGAGGCGTCTCCACCCGGAGGCGGGGCGGCGGGGAGGCGGGGCGGGACTAGGTCCAGATGGGCGTCGCGGGGCTGTGGCGCTGACTTGTGAGGTGCGGCTAGCAAAGTGCTGCGCTGAGGTTTGGCGTTCGGGACCGCGGGAGCCGGGCGAGAGCGGCAGGATGGCGGCGGCGGCAGCGGCGGCGGGCGAGGCACGCCGGGTGCTGGTGTATGGCGGCAGGGGCGCGCTGGGCTCGCGCTGCGTGCAGGCCTTCCGGGCCCGCAACTGGGTAATGCTGCGGGACCGGGCGCAGGGTGCGGGGGTCTGCGCCCGAGGGGCGGGTACTGAGAGTGGGGGGGCCAGGCACCGCGGGGGCCTACCCGGGCACGGTCGGGGACACCGCGGGGGCCGCCCTGGGCACAGTCCGGGGTAGCGGGGCCCTGCGCACCCGCCGTAAGGCTGCGTGCACGTGCGTGCATCGGTCCCTGCCCGATGCCAGGTGCAGGGGTGGGGGTGCTCCCCCGCCTTTTTCCTGGCCCAGGAGGTCCGGCCTGGCTCGGAAGCCTCCGGAATTAATTGGGCTGCCCTAGTTACTAGCCCAGTGACCCTGAATTGATTAATGAACACCCGCGAGCCACAGTTTCCGCATAAGTAGAATGACAATTGTACTGTCCATTTCGTCGTCAGGATTAAGTGGGAGAATCAGTGTCTTGTTAGGTATATTACCCGACAGTTTGGTAAAAGCTGTTTAAATGCTAGCTGTCACTGATACTGCGATTGTTACCGGTATTGCTTTAGCCTGGTAGAAACTGACAGTTTGAAGGTTCAGCCCCTTGGCAGTTGACAGCATCTTTGCATCGAAAAGAATATGTAAACTACTTTGCCTGGTCAGGTGTCCACTCCCAGAGAGCGGCAGGTGGGGGCAGAGCTGATCAGTGACCAGGGAAGGGCCTCTTGCCCTTAGCCACTCAGCACGGGAATCCTCTCTACTGCTGTCACTTGCTCTAAGTCAGCCCTGGAGCTTGGGGCAGCTTCCTGGGAGTTTAGCGGCCTGGGCAAGGGATCCCCTGCGACCAGAGAAAGAGAGGGGTCCAAGCTTTTGTTCTGGTGCAAAGTGTGGAACAGGAATCATGCCACTACCTGCTCTGAGCCTGGGAACCACCCCCCACCCCCCAGAAGTTGGAGGATGGGGACAAAGCCATCATTGAAGTGTGGTGATCCTCCAGTGGCACACTCTACTCCTATATAGCAGATCCTCCCAGACTCCAGCTTCATTGGATCTTCCTAATAACGTTAATGCAGTAAATGCTGTTAGTGACCACATGTTACGGCTGCTAAGGCTGTGCTCTTCCCTTGTAGGGGCTTTTAGTTTACCATCATTGTAGAGTCTGGTGAGCTGGTTTGTTTACCCCCTATTCTTTGTTTCCCTCTTCCTTCCTGGCACCCTAGGGAGGACTGGGATGGATACTTGTTCATCTCAGTATTATTCCCCAAGCTTGTGCTGTACAAGTAATGAAGTGGTTGAATGATGCTGTGATCACAGCTTAAGGTAGAGATAACTGACCTCTGGGGCCTTCAGTCTGAAGAACCTGGAGCTTTCTGAGGTGAACCCAGCATCACTCATGCCTGGAGAGTGAGCATCTATCCTCCATCTCATTTGTTTCTTACTAACCCTGTTACTCATTAACCTGCTTCTTAAATAAAGAAGGCTGTCAGCGTATGGCAGAGCTAGCATTCATACCCCAGCCTATCTGATGCCCCCATCCAAAGCCCATCCATCTCTGCTGTAGAGTGGGGTCCTGCAAACTGTGGTCCTTCATGGGAAGATGATGGACAGCCACTCCTCTATATAGCCAAGAAGGGTTGTTTTGTTTGTTTTTGAATTTTGGGACAGTTAAAAAATCGAAAATAATAACATCATTTTGTGGCATGTGGAACTGATGTGAAGTTTATATGTCAGCATCTGAAGTTTATTGGATGGCACAGCCATGTCCTGCCAACTCCCTATTGTTGGTAGCTGTGCTCTCCTGCAGCACTAGCAGGTTTGAATGTGAAAGAGATAATGTGGCCAGCAAGCCTTCTGGGCTCTTCACAGCCAGTTGACTCCAGATGTCTCTAGATACCTATAGGGTTTGGCCTTGAGAAGTGAGAGAGGAAGAGGAAGATGTTTGGAGCAGGATGGGATGGGAGAGGTGCAGTACAAGGAGCACTGTTCACAGTCATTGGTCCCTATGGGGTGTGTGGGAGATCAGTTATTCCTTTCTCTAGTGGGTTTTCATTTACATGTTGAACTTCCCAAAACCTGAAATGCTTCTAACTGTAAAGCTTTTTGAGGCCCACATGAGGCCCCTACTAGGAAGTTCCTTGCCATGAAACTTGCTGCATGCTCAGGACTATTAAAACTACTTTGTAAAGTGACTTAGGCTGTGAGGATGAAGTGTGTATCAAACATGCATGAATTTTGTGTTCAGATTTGGGTCCCACCTCCAAGATATGTGTATACAGACATTTCAAAACCCAAATTTCCAAGTTCTGAAATGTTTTAAGCCCCATGTGTTTCAGATGAGGGGTAACCAGGTTTCATTTCAGCCTCTTAACTTTCCCCATTGACTTTTTCGGCTTTGGGTCTTTAGAGAAATAAAGACCCAAACTGACCAAGACTGTTTTCTGTTGCTCCAGTGGGTGGCCAGCATCGATGTGGTGGAGAATGAAGAGGCCAGCGCTAGTGTGGTTGTTAAAATGACAGACTCATTTACGGAGCAGGCTGACCAGGTAATGGCAAAAGATCCCCTGTTGTGGTAGCAGAGCCCCAGTAGGGGTTTCCCCGGCTGTGTGTTCTGTATTCACCAATTACTGTTTGCCTAATTAGGAAAGCCATGTGTGTCCATGGAGGAAAACTTCGAAAGAGTGAAAAACAAAACAAAAATCAGAATACAAAGATAAATGATTATTTCTGTGTAGCTCATTTCGACCCATTACCTTTACTCTGCATGCTGTGTGCTATTATTTTCTCAAGTAAAGATAGTTTTGTATTTTATATTTGATGGCTAGTCTTTTTAAAATTTACCCTTCATCTCACTTAAGAAAAACACTTTGTAGATGTATAATATTTCAGTATGTTGACTGGCTGTGGTTTACATAGTTTCTGCTTATTTTACCCTTCAGGTTTTTTTGCTGATTTAAAATTTAGATTTTTAAAAAAACTGTTTTATAAGAATGGTGTGGTTGCACATCATTGTCTTCATATCTGATTATTTAGGCTACATTTTGAAAAGGGGAGTTAACTTCATTTAAAGCATGAACAGTAACAGAACAGGTAGTTTTCAATTATAAAATTATATGCACATTGTAAGACAAACCCAACTGTAGAAATATGTAAATGAATGCAAATTCTTTCTTTTTTCCTCCAAGATAGTACTGTTCCCAGAAGGAGCATGTTACCAACTTGATGTATGTCTTGGTGTGAATATAACTGCCCTAAGCATTTCTGTATCTCGGAGGAGCCTTTCAGATGAATGAGACTCATCCAGCACTCCAGCCCTCAGTTCCCAGAAATCCTCCACGTCCTTTTTGTATGATGCACTTTGTTTCCACAGCTGCTGGATGGGATCATTTGGTTTCAGCATGGGAGAGACAAGCTGAGGAGCTAGTTAGTGGTAGAGTTAGGGCAGGGGTCTCCTAACACAAACTTGGTCTGTAATGTGGGTTCACTTTCTGTTTGGTTGTGGTGTCTCTGGTGGTCTCAACACTGGTTGATGTTTTATGATCCTTGACTGGTTTGAATAAAAAATATGGACACCAGAAATCTGTAGGTACTCATGTCCCTTGTATAAATAGCATTGTGTTTACATATAATATGCATATCCACCTGAATGCTATAATCATCTCTAGATTACTTATAAAACCTAGTAGAATGTCAGTGTGATGTCACTTCTCATTATATTGTCATTATTTAGGTAATAGTGATGAGAAAGAAAAGTCTTTGTGTTTATAGCACAAGTGCAACTTTTTTCCCCCAGAAGATCTTTGATCTGAAGTTTGTTGAGTCTTTGGATGTGCAGCCCACAGATATAGGTGACCTACTTAGTTTTTGGTTGTTCTTTTCTTAATGAGAGCCTTCTGTTTGCTATGTTTAATGTGATATAGATTGGTCTTAATCAGCTTACTAGAGACAGTTGACATGGCCTTATTAGTTGCCACTGATCTAAGTGTTTTTTTGTTTTGTTTTTTTTTTGAGACAGGGTTTCCCTGTAGCCCCAGCTGTCCTGGAACTCACTATGTAGACCAGGCTGGCTGGCCTTGAACTCACAGAGATCCGTCTGCCCCTGCCTCCCAAGTGCTGGGACTACAGGCATGCGCCACCACACCCAGCTCTAATCTAAGTGTTTTAATTACATTAATGCACATAGTCCCATAACAAAGTTTCTAATTTTGTCTTTTAGAATTAGGGAAGATGAGGCATAAGAATGCTTGGCTTTTGCCCAAGGTCAAACAGATAGGAGGATGACATAGACACAGTTTGGGCCTGGGCAGTGGGGACTGACAGCTGTGCTCTTACCCACTGAGCTAAGCTGCCCCAAAGCACAATAGCATCGTGTGGATAAAGAAATGAAAGCTAAAACTTAGGAGGGGCCAGTGCCTGGGCTTGGAGAACCACAACCCTTCCAGGCGTGGGTCCTGCTTTCAGTGTCTCAGTTCTTGTTAAATAGGAGTTGTGATGTCCACATAGGTTTAAAAGATATTTATTATTATTATTATTCGTGTGTGTGTGTGTGTGTGTGTGTGTGTGTGTGTATGTGTATGTGTATGGCCTTGTGAGTGCCAGGGTGCATGTGCGGGGGTCAGAGGACAACTTTCAGGAGTCAGTTCTTAACCTCCAACCTTAGGTCCAGGGATCAAACTCAGGTTTATCACGTCTGTGAAGCAAGTGCGTTTAGTGGTTGAGCCATCTCACTGGTCCCCACAAGGGTTCTTGAGTATGGAAGTTGTCTCCCCTGAGATGACTAGAATGCAGGACAAAGATGCAGAAATGCCTTAGTTGTTAGAAGTTTAGCTTTAACAGTCAATACTCCTTTCTACCCCACACCCCATTGTGAATTTCTAGATAAACAGCATGATACTTAGTTTTTAGTTTTGAGGTCCACAAGAGGTAATTCAATCCTAGTACATACAAAATTGGTCCCTTGGGCAGGAAATTCAACAGGGAGAAGAGATGCAGAAGCAAGAAAGAAACAATCTACAGAAGACTCTTGGGTGGAAAGCATCATTTAAGAGGAATTTGAAGCTATCTTATTATAAGAATAAAGCATAGATAGATGTTTTAAAAAGTGTCAAACAGGTGCGTAGTTGCTGTTTCCTCCTTACTTTGAAGGGTATGCTAAGTAATCTTGGATTCTATCCAGATGTTGGGAGTTGATGTACTTTCTGGCAGTCAGGATCTAGGTTTTGGACTTTAAGACTTAGCTTCAGAAAGAAGGGAAGGGGCCACTAGGACCATTAGCACCACAGGAGGAAGATCAACAAATGATAATGTCAGACTAGATAAAAAGCATGGAAAATTCTAGAATCTCCTTAAAAGTATTATCTGTGGTGTTTGGGGAGAGGAAAGCTTAGTTTTCACTGACTAAACATTCCCTTTGAAGGAGCAATTTGAGTCTTCAAAAAGAAGGTAAAGGTTTGATGGAGATGTTGCTAGAGAGATGCTGGGTATGAGTTTTCAGACCCAAGGAGGGTAGGAATGACTTTTATAATGGACATAATCTGGACTGATTTAATTAACCCCGGGAAACCATGTGCTCCAGACCTGGGCGCCAGATCTATTTTCCTAGGCAACCTCATTTTGGTACTCCATCCCAAAAGACAAATGAGTGAATGTGGGTGTGCTTGAGAATGAGCACATCAAGGCATTGAAAGCAGGTGCACCCATCTACATTGCACATTGGGGGGTTGGGAAGGATATTTGACCTTGAATAACACCTGTCTACATTGCACACTGGGGGGTTGGGGAGGATATGCGACCTTGAATAAGCGAGACATTCTAGATCTAGGAATGAAAAGGCCGGGTGGTCTGTTAAGATTAGGGTGGGGCCAAGATTGTACTTCTCCACTTGAAGCTGGAGAAACCACTTTGAATATAGTCATGGATGGGACCAGCAGGCTTCCAGGGATGGAGTTCTAGCCAGCCAGTTTCATCAGCTCAGTTCCATGAGGCAGCCAGTTCTAAGAGCTCTCTAGGGGAATGAATGTCCTCTGAGTTTGGACCCACTCTTAAAAACTAAATTTAAGAGTCAGGCTATTTGTTCAGGCCATCATAATGTAGGCATAGTAAATTAGGGAGAGTCAAAGCAGCCAGCCAGCATGGCCTGCCTGCCAGGTTGTGCTTTTAATCATTCATGAGAGCACATGAAAACATTCTCAGGGCTTTAAAATTTCAAGCATAGATCATTGAAATTAACCCCCTGCTCAGTATTTACCAGCAGTTTGCCATTGGCTGTCTTGTCTTGTTCTTGAGTTTTGTTTTGGGTCAGAGTGGAATGGATCCCTCTCAGATTATGATTTTATGATTTGTGCAGGAAATCTGGAAAGGAGTACATCAGAACCTCACCTGTTTGTCCTGAGGTTTGAGTGATTTTTTTTTTCTTTCTTTTTTTTTTTTTTGAGACAGGGTCTCCCTGTAGCCCCAGCTGTCCTGGAACTCACTATGTAGACCAGGCTGGCCTTGAACTCACAGAGATCCGCCTGCCTCTGCCTCCCGAGTGCTGGGATTAAAGGCATATGCCACCACACCCAGCCTTGAGTGATTTTTAAAACCCCTTTTTTGTGTTACTTGTTTTACTTCAGGAGGTGTGTAATGTCCCCGACTTTTAGAATGTGCATGTAGAGCTCTGGGTTACTTTATGAAAATTTTATTGAAAAGTAGGTGGACTTCATTATTTAAAATGCTCCTTAGCCCATCTTCCATCCAACTTCCTGTGTCAATTGCCAGGTGCTGTGAACTGGCTTAAGAAGAGAAAGCAAGGCAGGCAGTGGAAGCTCTTTGGAGCTTAGCTAACCCTACAGTTTATGCCGCTGTTGCCTCTTTTGTTTCAGGTGACTGCCGAGGTGGGGAAGCTCTTGGGTGACCAGAAGGTGGATGCGATTCTCTGTGTGGCTGGAGGATGGGCCGGGGGCAATGCCAAATCCAAATGTGAGTCCCTTTTGGAGTTAATCCTCAACTGTGCTCTGCTCTGGAGTTAATTCTTGACTCTGCTCTGCTCTTTGTCCAGCTGACATGGGTCAGTATAGACCAGGTCCCAGGCCAGCTGTTTTTCTGTTTATCTCCCAGCATCTTATCATAGTTCTTTGTCTTTGCTTTGTGTTGATGACAGAATGGGTAATTTATAAAGATTTACTACTTACATTCTGGATTCTGGAGTTTGAAGTTGAAAGTTTGGTATCTGGTGAGGGTTCTCCTGCAGCCTCATCACGTGGCAGAAGGTGGAAGGTCAAAAGAGTATTGGAGGGGGACAGGTTGGTTGGCAGGGTGCTGTGTTACCATCTGTTCCTCTAAGTCTCAGGAAAGGCTAAAGTTGTAACACAACTGTGAAATGGCTGCATTTCATCTCTCTTTTACAGACTTTTTAAGGCTGCCAATAACTTTTCATCCATGAAAATGTAACTGTATAAAAGCCCTTTTATAGCTATAGGGTAATTGTTCCATGAATTTTTATCTTGAAAAGAAGCTGAAATAGACAAAGGCTCTTATTAGAAATCTAATGGTCTTCATAAAGTAAACAGTTTTTGAATCAACACCAATCTAGTGAATCCATTGACCTCAGATTGAAACATTCTTTATTAATTATTTGAGAATTTAATACAATGTACTTTGATCATATTTACTCCCCACTTCCCCTAACTCCTCCCAGAATCCACCCCTACCAAATCCCCAACTTCATGTCCTTTTTTTTTTTTTTTTTTTTCCCGGTGTTTTTGAGACAAGGTCTCTCTGTAGCCCCAGCTGTCCTGGAACTCACTATGTAGACCAGGGTGGCCTTGAACTCACAGAGATCTGCCTACCTCTGCCTCCCAAGTGCTGGGATTAAAGGTGTGCGCCACCACACCTAGCTGTTTATTATTTTTTATTTCAAGTGTATGAGTGTATTGCTTACTAGTGTGTAGGTGCACCTGTGTCGGACAGTGCCCTTGGAGGTCAGAAGAGGGCTTTTGATCCCCAGGAACTGGAGTTACAGACAGTTGTTATCTGCTGTATAGGTGCTGAGAACTGAACTCAGGTCCTCTGCAAGAGCAGTCAATGCTCTTAACCAACCAATGAGCCATCTCTCCAGTCCCTTTTTAAAAAATAACCCACTGAGCCTCATTTGTGCAGCACATGTACTTCTAAATGTGGGACCATCCACTGGAGTGTTGATCCCAGACTTATTTGCTAAGTTATTGACCGAAATCGTAGCAGTTAGCTGGTGAGGAAGCTCAGACTCAGGAGCTACGTGGCATGTGTTTGAATCTGTGTCTCTGAGCCCTGAGCCCTGTGCTGTTTGTATTAGACCTTGTGGTAGACTAGGCACAGGTATGCAGCTTCCTGCAGAATGGGTCTCTGTGAGTTGAGCTGGCTTTTTGGTTCCTCTCTGGGAATGATCAGCCTATGTCAGCCTATGTTTTTGTGTCATGTGCCCAGCCCCGTCCCCCCCCCCCCCCCCCGCCGGCAGCTCTCTTTAAGAACTGTGACCTGATGTGGAAGCAGAGCATGTGGACGTCCACCATCTCCAGCCACCTGGCCACCAAGCACCTGAAGGAAGGAGGCCTCTTGACCTTGGCTGGTGCCAAGGCTGCCCTGGATGGGACTCCTGGTAAGCCTTCATTATGTTTTTTTCTATCTCTGTAGTGGGAATGCTTCTCTTCCTGGGACCTTGGACATACGGTGAGTTGAGGAGGAGCAAAGTCCTTCATACCTTCAGGGGCTTGTCCATTGTGGATGGTCTTGCTTCCTCTATCCCAGAATCTTTTTAGGGGGCGCTTTCTGGGTCTTCTTACTTGCATTTGTCTCCTGTTCATGGTTCTGTAGTCTGCGACTCAAGTTCATTATCTGTGCCCCATGGAGGATCGAATGGCATAGCTCATAGGCATTAGCACACATATCTTGTTTGTTTGTTTGTTTTTTGAGACAAAGTCTCACTGTGTAGTCCTAGCTGGCCTGGAACTCTCTGTGTAGACCAGGCTGACCTTGAACTTACAGATATCTACCTACTTCTGCATCTTGAGTGCTGGGATTAAAGGCTTGTGCCACCACCATTGCATTGTGGTTAGGTGTCCTAGGCAAGTATCTTGGCAACTGTTAATTATGAGAGCTTTAGATGAGGGGGCTGCAGGTGGATTCATTATCTGGATTCATGAAATTTCTTTAGCAGCTCCCTTAACTGAAAACAGTGACAATATTACCTAACTTGAAAAGCAGCCACAGAGTTGTTGACATGTAGTACCCCACATGATAGGTATCTTACTATATGCACATTAAATGTCAAGTATTATTGTGATTGCTTTTCACATATATTTTTATTTCATTCTAATATAGGCATCATTATTACCTTTTTCAGTTTATTGGTTAGGAAAACAAAATTTAGAGAGTGAAGTAATCATCCAGATTCATAGAGCACACAGTGGTCCACCGTCCTGTCACGAGGACCGGTTTTGCCTTTCTTACTCCCTGTACTTGTTTGCTGGGGTAGCCATGCCTTGGGTTGCTTAAACAGCAGACACATTTTCTGTCTTTTTTCAAAAAATATTTTATTTATTATTTTTATTTTATATGTATGAGTGTATTACCTGCATGTCTGTAAGTGTACCCGTGCTGCGCAGTACCCACGGAGGTCAGAAGAGGGCATTGAATTCCCCTGGAACCGGAGTTAAGGATGATTGTCAGCTGCTATGTAGGTGCTGGGAATCAAACCTGGGTCCTCTGCAAGAGCTGCTAGTACGCTGAACCACTGAGCCTCTCTCTAGCCCCCAGACCACACGTTCTCTAATAATTCCAGAGGCCAAATGACTAAGGCCAGGGTATTGGTAGGCTTGGTTCCCCTGAGACCTCCCTCGTTGGCTTGTTGGCTGCCTTTTCCTTGTGTGCCCCTGTGTGTGTGTCTGGGTCCTAATTTCCTCCTCTTATAAGGACCCTAATCCTATTAGATTCGGCCTCCACCCTAATGATCCCATTTTAAGTTAGTTAAAGCCAGGTGTGGTGGTACATGCCTTTAATCCCAGCAGTCGGGAGGCAGAGGCAGGTAGATCTCTGTGAGATCAAGGCCAGCCTGGTCTACATAATGAGTTCTAGGTCAGCTGTGGCTACAGGGAGACCCTGTCCTAAAAAGACAAAAAAAAAAAAAAAAAAAAAAAAAAAAAAAAAGCCAAACCAAACAAACCAAAACACCACTTTAGCTAAATATAGTCACTTTCTGAGTTACAGGGAGATCAGAACCTCAGAACCTCAACATATACATTTCGGGGAGGTACATTTCAGCTCATACATTCCCTTAGGGACAAGACTAAAGGAATTTAAGTAATGGATGCAGAGGGGTGGGCAGTAATGTCTATCTGTACTACATGAATTTTAAAAGAAATATATATTTTTTTTTAAGAAATATTTTTTAAGTGAGCATTTCTGAACCTAAGTGATAGAGATCTTGAAGTTACCATCTCAGTGTTAAGGTGACTGTCTGGACCCTGAGGCTCTTGCTAATTAGGAGTTTCTTGCTTCTTAGAACATAAGACTTTACAAGTCTGTGGCTGCTGCAGTGATTTAAACTGTGTAAATGTTAGATGTCTTTGGTTGAGATCTGATTTTTATTAAAGGTGACTTAGGGCAGAGACACTGGAAAATAAATAGAGGAATGAGTAATAGTTTGACATTTAAAAAACAAAAACGTAGGACTGAAACACCAGTTTTTCTGAAGGACAAAACAGACTCCTGCCTTTGGTTTGTAAGTATAGATGGTAGTGTTGGTCCCTAACGTGTGGTGGTTCAAGTTAATGACTCCTCTGCTCCGCAGTGGTGAGAAAGTATATAGCCATTCTGTGCTGTGCTTGCAAACCACTTTTTAAGAAATGTGTCAATCATTTCATTTTGAAAGAAAGTGTTCATCGTCACTGTAGGCACTTTTTTTTTTTTTTTTTTTTTTTTTTTCAAAATAAAAAAGATGTCCTAACAAGGTGCTGTTCTGTAGCCTTAGGCCATCAGGGTTGAGGTTTCTTATTTCTTTCCTTCCAAAGCTTCCAAGCCCTTGTATTGTTTGAATGGGAATTCAGAGAGAACCCTAGGACTTGGAGTTTGTTGTATTTTTGTTGTTGTTGTATTTTTAAAACTCTGTTGGCTTCCTGTTGTTGACTCAACTCATTGACTGAACACTGAACAGAGATACTGAGGATGGTGAAATGCTCTTTTAGTAACTTTTTGAGACCTTGACCCTCTTTTGCAATTCAAGGTTGTTGTTGAAGCTGGTTAGTGATTGGCTCCTGTGCTGGGCTTTGAATCCCCCCTCCCTGGACTCAGGCTGCCCCTTTGCACTTGCCGACCTTCCCTGACAACAGCCTCCCTTGCTTCAGTCAGCAGATCTCACTGAGGTGGGGCAGAGAGGACTTGAGGGGGTATGTGAACTGTGTCAAGACTTTTAACATGCAACTTACTGCATGCCAGTTATACCTTGGTAAATTTGATTTTGAAAAGTATGAACCTTTTTAAGCATTCTGCCTATGTGCTTGGTGTTATTTCCCCACCAGAGGTACCTGTAAAGTAGGACAGTCATTCCAAGTTTGGCAAACCCAGGTGACTTGTCTGAGACCCCCTGGCAGTGAGGAATTAGAAGTGAGGAGAGGTGGGCACTGACAGTTGATACCACAGGGGTGTTGAGGACCTGCCACATCAGCAGATGGGCAATGAGCCTACGAGCGAGCCTGCACTAAACTGCTGTCTAAGCAAATGCCCTAAGAGAGCGGCAGGGAGAGAACTTGACACTTCTGTGGAGTAACTGATGTGATCAAGGCTAGGAGCTTAAGGGAAAATGGAATGATTTTATGAAACTGCTTTTGTTTTTTTGTTTTTTGCTTTTTTGTTTTTTTTTTTTGTCTTTTTGAGACAGGGTCTCCCTGTAGCCTTAGCTGGCCTGGAACATGCTATGTAGACCAGGCTGACCTTGAATTCACAGAGATCCGCCTGCCTCTGTCTCCCAAGTGCTGGGATTAAAGGTATGTGCTACCACACCCAGCCTTGAACAACCTGTTTTTTTTAGTCTTTTTGAGACAGGGTCTCCCTGTAGCCCCAGCTGTCCTAGAACTCACTATGTAGACCAGACTGGCCTTGAACTCACAGAGATCCACCTGCCTCTGCCTCCCAAGTGCTGGGACTACAGGTGTGAGCCACCATGCCCGGCTGAACCTGTTTTTTAATAGGGAACATTCACATGTTGTTAGAGGACATATTCTTAATAGGGATATTGACTCCCACTGACTACCTGATCTCAATGGCACATGCTCCCCTGGCCCAGCCCTTAGGCTCCCTTCCGGAGGAAGCATTCTGAATGCATCCTTTTGTGCACCCGTGCCACTTCCGTTCCCAGTCACATTCTATTTTATATTAAAGGTTTTTTTTTTTTGATGCAGGCCTGGCTTGGCCTTGAGCGTGCACTCCTTCTACATCAATCTCCCAACGTCCCAGATTGCAGCTGTGTGTCCCACCTGATGGGCAGGTGTGTGCTCATCATATAGTCACATACATAAAATATGTATTGAGGGCTAGCAAGATGGTTCAGTGGGTAAAGGTGCTTGCCTGGAGACATGAGTTTGCTCACTGGGACCCATGTAGTGAAAGTAGTGAACTGACTCCTGCAAGTTGCCTTCTGACCTCCGCACACACTCTGTGGCATGTATGTACACTCCCCTCATGCAAAATAAAAAAATAAAAAATATGCACTGAACGCCTCTTTCTGGGAATAGGCATTGTGGCTTGTGCCTGCAGTCTTGGCCAGAGGTAGGAGGATTGTTGCAGTCTGAGGCTCACCTATGCTACATAGCTGGTTCCTGTCTAGCTAGGGCTACATAGACCCTGTCTCAACAGACAAACAAAGGAAATGCCTCTTTCTCAGTTGGGGTGACATTGGTAAACAGAGCACTTAAACTCCCTGCCTCTGTGGACTGTGTATTCTTTTGGGAATAGAAGAGCCAGTTAGAGATTGTCGGGTGCTGTCCTTCCCTGTTCTGTATTGTCGTCAGGAAACCCTGTGACTTGGGGCATCAGGTGGTGGTAAGGGGGGCTGCTGGCTCTTGTTTGAATCAGAGAGGAATCAGCCTGAGTCCCTGGCTATGGCCTTCAACTTAGATCTTAGTTCTTGACCTCGGTGCCAGGAAGCTGCCCTACTTTTCTTCACGTTCCCAGCATCAATCTGGGGATCACAGGCAGAAGAGGCCCAGTGACATGTGAAGATAAATTGGGGGTTTGGTACCTAGGAGCAAGTGGTTCCTGGCAGTCTCTTTTAGGCACTGGCCTTAATAGGCAGTAAAGCAGTGGCAGGTGGGCAGGATGGTTACAGAGAAATAATGTCGAGGCCAGAGCTGTAATGATGGCAGTCATGCCCGAGTACACACAGGCTGCTGCTCTACCCTGAGAAGGAAGGGAATGCCCAGTGACAGCCAATTCCTGCTCCGTAGTGGGAACAGTAGTGTGAGCTAGTGCATAGTGTGTGGTGACAGTAGGCAGGGAGTGTGGGATGCTTCCTCCTCTCTGCTCCAGCCACAGCTGCACCTCCCAGCACAGAGCTCAGCCAAGCCCCCCTGCACAAAGCTGCTCTCCATCAGCTAGGTGATCCCTCACACCATGATCACCCTGCATGGCTCCCCTGGCCCTCTCCTGGGTGTTCTCATTGGTCCTCAGTGCAGCCTTGCTGATAGAGTGATGTGTGGGTTACCATGTCACGTTCGTGTATGCACAGATGAACAGTGTGACTTTTGTGGTTGTTTGTAAAGCAAGTGTGAGAGCTCTTCTTGGGAAGTTCCAAGTCTATGACCTTTTGCACCAATCCTTGATATCCGAAGGAGAAGAATGGCCATTGGTACACAGTCGCCTTTTAAAACCTTCATTCTTGGCATTTGGCAAGAGGATACAACTCCTTTCTACCTGTTCCATCCCTTTCTCTGTTTGCTGTCACTTTTTGTGGGGGTGGTGAGGTGCCCTGCCTGAAGGAGGATGCCAGCACAGCTGTGGGTGGTGTTAAGAGGCTGAGAAGAAGATTGCACAGCTCGATGTCACACTGCCTGCCTGTGTAACCAGCTGTTTTCTTCCCTTTCCCAGGGATGATTGGCTACGGCATGGCCAAGGGTGCTGTCCATCAGCTGTGCCAGAGCCTTGCAGGGAAGAACAGCGGCATGCCGGCCGGGGCTGCTGCCATCGCCGTGCTCCCGTAGGTGCCTGGTGCTTCCCAATGCTGCCCACCTCGCCCACTGCTGAACGTTGACCTTTGAGAATTCTCTCCACCGGGGCCTTGAGTGCATATCACCTAGGGTTCTAAAATTCACTAAAGGCCCTTAACATACTGCTTTAGTCTGTTCTTGCCATTGTACAAATACCTTAGACTGGATATTTTATAAACCACAGAAATTTATTGCATACAGTATGTAGTCTGCAAAGTCCAACTTCAAGGTGTCAGCAGAGCTGGCATCTGGTGAGATCTTGTTCCTCATAGATCCTGCCTTCTCTGCCAACACATGGAAGAAGGGCAAAGGGGCTCCTTCAGGCCCTTTTGTAAGTGCCCCAGTCTGTTCATGGGGCACACCATTAGGTCAGGGGACCTAATCATCTTCTGAAGGCCCCGCTTCATCTCACACTGCAGGTTGGGTTTCAACTTAGGCATTTGGGCTAGAAGCGCCTTCAGCCTGTAGCAGTATCTTAGGGCTCAGAGTATCTGTCTTGGGCAGTCTGGAATGCCCAGCTGACTTGCCTCTTGCCTCTGGTCCTATAAAGGGCCCCTGGGACAGCTCAGGGACTGGCTAACTTTCCATTCTCCTTCAGTTGTGAGTTTCTGTGACTAATTGAGCTACCCCATAGCTGTTTTGAGAGATGTCTTAGGCCTGAATGTTTTTTCTGTGAATTCTGTATTCTTGTGCTAAAAATGAAAGAATTCTTGGAAAGCCGCCATATTCTTAGAAATTAATATTTTATAATTATATTTCAAGGACTGTTATTCCACTTAAATCTTTAGAAGCAGGTATGCTGTATTTTAGAGAGTACATGAAGACTCAACAAAGCACTTTATAAAGGCTGCATCTGACATAAAGGCCAAATGTGACTCTTCTCATTTGTTTTTGTCTGCCCCAAGTGTGAGTCATGAAGAACCTTACTGGATTCCACTCAGATGTGCTTTTTGTTAATGTGGACAGCTTGCTGGTCTCTGATTGTCCCTTTGATCTCTCCATGTAAATGTTACACTCAGTGCCCGAGGCTCCTAGCGGTGATGCATGAGATTGTCTCTTTTGGTCAAAGAGGACCAGACACCTGTTATTATAAAGAGTGCGCAAATGACACACTTATCTACTTATCTCTGCATTGCAGGGTTACCCTGGATACCGCAATGAACAGGAAATCAATGCCTGAGGCTGACTTCAGTTCCTGGACACCCTTAGAGTTCCTGGTTGAGTGAGTATCCATTTGAGGCTGTGACTAAGCAGCTTCTAGCTGCCATTCTCTGTGCTTTAGGGACTGAAGGACAAGTCCATGTCTTCTTGGATTATAGCTGATCCTAGGTGGGCTTATGAGCTTCCTGGGGCACTGCGGATCTGTGTCACAGAAGTCTGAATTTCAGGGCAGCTAGATCAGAGATGAGCAGTTGTGTGGAGAGGTTAATAGCACCAGCACGAGTCCCAGCTCCTCTTTTCCTCTTCTGACTAAAGCAAGTAAGCACAAACCGCCCTAGCACCAGATTGCTTGCCTGTGTAATCAGGTCTTTGGTGATGGTTCAGAGGATGAAACATGGCAGCGTGCTGAGCACTTGGCACTGTGTCTGACCATTAGCAAGTCCTCAGTAGATCTCAGTTCCTGGAGCTGCCCTTGCCCATGTGGCTAGGAGCAGCTCCATCTTGATTATGTGTCTCAGTTAGTGCTGAGCCACAGATGTGTGAAGGGTGGCCCTCGTCTCCAAGACCCTAGTTAGTGAACCTGGGGGCAGTTAGAAAGCTCACTGAGAAGGAAGTGATTTGCTTTTTTTGCTTCCTCAGTTCTTTAAAGCCCTCTAATAAGTCTGGGTTCACTGGACATAGCCCATTGCTGTCTCAGCATGGGATGGCTAGGCCACAATCCCTGTTTGAGGAGATGACTCTCCCCATGGTGCCAGTGTCATAAGTACTTCCTCTTACTTTTGTGTATGTGTAAATGTTGGTGTGTGTGTCTGTAGGCACATGTGGAGGCCAGAGGTCTCATGAGTCTGAAACTCACTGATTTGGCTAGACTGGCTGACCAGAAAGCCCCAGAGAGCCTCCTGTCTCTGGCTCCCCAGCCAGCTCTCCTGGCTTTTTAATGTGGATTCTGAGGATCTGAACTCAAGTCCTTGTGTGTGTGGCAAGCACTTTGCTGGCTGTGCCCTCGCCAGTTGACCTTTCCTGTTTGATTTAATGCTCTTGGCAGTTCTACTTAGGACTTGGGGACTTGAGACCTTGTGGTGGCTCAGTGACTTGCGTACAACACAGCGAACACGGACTCTGACTTAGGCTGTGTGGATGCAGTCCTGCGGGCCTACTAACCACATGCTGAGCTGGGAATCATGCTTTAATGCTTGATTTAAAAAGGAAGTTACAGAAAACACTAATCTTTGATTTGCAATTACATTTAAAGGCCAATATATTTTTTGGGGGCCAATATTTTTTCCTTTTTCTAATTGAATTTTTGTGAATTTGGTGCAATATATTTTGATCATATTTTGGTTCCCCTCCCCATCTGCATATCCTTTCCACCCCTGCCAGTTTCATGTACTTTATTATATATCTATTATATATCTTAAGGCCTGTAGAGTCAAATGTGTGTCCCCGAATGTACTTCAGTGTGTATTTATCCACTGGAGCCTGGTTAACCTACTAAGAGTCTTACCTTAAAAAAGACTGTCTCTCCCCAGTAGCCATTGGTTGTCAGTAGTTCCTCAGGTAGAGTTGGGTTTCTTCCCCACTTCCCCACTTCTGTGCTGGGATTTTGTCTGGCTTAAACTTATGTGGTACTTGTGCATGCCGTCATCATTATGAATAACTGCCCAGCTCTCTAGAAAATTCTTTTTGCTGGTGGTCATCCATCACCTCTGGCTCTTAAAATCTTTCCGGCCCTCTTCTACAATGATCCCTGGGCCTTTGGAGGCCGAAGTTTAATTTAGGTGTCTAATTCAGGGATAAGCTCTGCAGTCCCTAATTTTCTGCACGTTTCTGCCAGTTGTAGCTTTCTGTTAATCACCATCTGCTACAACTCTAGTGAAAGTTGAGAGATGCTTTAATCTATGGGTATAACAATAAGTCATTAGGAGTCAGTTTAATGCTATAACTATTTAGTAGAAAACTAGTATTAGACTCTCCCCTGTGGCCTTGTGGCCTCTCTAGCCACAGTGTCAGGTATGGGCTCCATCTTGTGAAGCAGACCTTAAATTCAATTAGAAAGTGATTGGTTACTCCTATAATATTTGTTCCAGTACTGTACCAGAGCTCCTATCTTGCTAGGCCAGTTGTTGAAGTACACAGTATTTATAGCTGGGTAAGGTTAATGATTAATTTTTATTTCCAGTAGCATGTATAGCAGCATCTCCCAGCGCTATGAACGTTAGCCAGTAGAGATGAGGCTCTGAAGTTAGCACCAGCTTGATTGCTCATATATGTAGTGTCTTCAAGAATAGGATTTTACTGTCAAGTTGGGTAACCAAGAGCAGGGACAATGGCCAGTATTGTTTGAGGGTCTATGGGACCCCTGGTCAACAGATTAAAAGAGGGAGTCCATTCCTGACACTGGGCTTTTACTTTGCTAGCTTGTGGTGTTTAATATGGGCAGTGTTTTCCTGTTATAAGTTAACTCCATTTATCTCCTTTTATAATGTATATGAATATACTTTAAGAAGCATCTATAACAGCAGGTTTCCATATGGCTTTTTGTAAAGGCCTTTAGTGTTACCCCTTCTCATACTCCTATTAGCCAATATTTTTTTTTAATTTTATTTATTATTTTTATTTTATGTATATGTGTGTATTGTCTGGATGTAGGTAAGTGCACCCATGTTGTGCAATGCCTGTGGAGGACAGAAGAGGCTGTCAGATCCCCGGGTCTTCTTCAAGAATAACCAATGTTCTTAACTGCTGAGCCATCTCTCCAGCCCTGTCAATATTCTTTAAAAGGACAGTGTTCTGTTCCTGTAATGCTTGAGTGAGACATTAATCTAGAACCTGGACTCCAGATGAGACATCTAGGCTTCATTCATGCCTAGATGCCTGTATTCATGCCCAGCTGCAGATTCCCCCGCCCCGCCCTGGGAGCATTGTGAGGGACTTGCCAGATACTCATTGTTCTAGAAACCACCTTCACCCACTTGCAGTATTTGAAAACTCACTTGCCGAGGTGGCCTGGAATTTGCTTTGAAATGCTGTGGTCACTACCTTCTCTTCATGTCTTCTCTCTCCACTCCAAATTGCCGGTGAGGCTGAAGGAGGATAGACATGCATGGTGAACTCAGAGACCCTTTCACTTCCAAGCATCACTGCTGCCTCTCTTGGAGTCATCCCTAGCTCAGCTCTGCCTGAAGAGATGGGGCCATGACCTATGACAGTGTTGCAGGGGTAATTTAGCAGGGCTTTGGTTTGTGAGCCCGTACACTTTCTTCATTTGTTCCATTCTCAAACAAGGAGCCTGGCTGTCAAATCTAGCCTGTGAGGTGCATATCTGGAACACAGAGCGTCCCAAGAGCTGAGTGCTTTCCATTTAAAGGTCTGAAGCCTTGGGGGTCAAGCCTCAGGTGTATGAAATTAAAATGTAAACGCTTTGCTTTTTAGATCTTGTCATTCGCTTGTAGTTCCTAGTGAATTTTTGTGCCATTCTTTTTTCTTTTTAGTTTTTTCCTCTCTAAAAGGGTCTTCCCTTTGTTTCAGGCAGGTTTGGTTGCCCCTCTCACATACGGACTAGTTGTTATAAGCTCCTTACTGTCCCATTGTATTTTACTATAATCATCTTTTGCTAGCTTGCCATGGGTGCCTCATAAATGTTTGCTAAAATTAAAAAGCGAATTTGCTCTTTCAAACTTGAGAAGGAATAAATCACAGCTAGCTGTCCTTATCTGTGGATTCTCGTCCATTAATTCAGTCAACTTCAGGTGAGAATACTGGAAAACCGCTTTCCTGTGAAACAAGTCCAGACATTTTCCTTTGTTGCTATCCCCTAAAAAACAGTACAGGTTTAACAGCTGCTTTTACAGCATGCATATTGTATGAGTTACTGTGAGAAATCCTGAAATTGTTTTGAAGTACATGGTAGGCTGTAGTTATACACAGACAGCATTGTCCTCTTAGATAAGGGCCTGAGCCTCCTGGAACATGAGTGTCCTCAGGGCTTCTGGGTCCAGACCACACAGACACTGTGGGAAGCCTGTGTGGTGCCTGGTCTGTCTCTTATAGTGAATTAGCTAAAATGTTTTCTATTACTTAAAATAATACTACCTTGTTGTGAAGATTTTTGATTATGTAGAAAAGTAATACAAAATGGAAGTTAGGGTTACATTAACTCCCCCCTGCCCCTCAAATGACAGTGAGTCAGACACTGTGCTCTCGGAACCTGGGTATATACCCCTGATGCCTGTGGCTTTCTCATAGATTCTCCCATACACCCCCAACCTCCAAGGCCATTGATGTGACTATAAATATGTGCCTGAACTTTTGCTTTAAAAATCGTAAAACATCTCTTCTTGTTCTAGAACTTTCCATGACTGGATCACAGGGAAAAACCGGCCAAGCTCAGGAAGCCTAATCCAGGTGGTAACTACAGAAGGAAAGACGGAGCTCACCCCTGCATATTTTTAAGCCTCATCTTGGTGCCTGGGAGGGACTTCATCGAAACATCACTAACTCATCTCTGGCTATGTCTGGCCCCATGTTTTCTGTATTCCTGTTTGTCTCTCACCTCATGTTCCTTTGCTGACCAGGGGTAGTGTGGAGTCTATGGGAAATGAGTGGAGGCCAGAGGGTGGCACTGTCAAGTCAGTGCTGTGGGCATGAGGAGGTGCCTGGGTGGGCTGTCTGCATGACGTCTTTGCTGGATTGTTTCAAGACCTTTCTGATAGATAATTCACTCATTTGTTGGCATTAAGGTGTTTTGAGGGCCAACTTGTTTTTGAATTTTGTGTTGATGTCTTAGGTGTAGTTTTTGTGGCCTCAAATTGAACTGCCTTAAAACTTTTTTTGTGAACAGGATTTCATCAACAAAATCCTGTCAAGTGTGTTGTGATTTCCTTTCCTTGTGCCGTTGCCGAGTATCCCCAGCATGCAAGGATGTGTGTGGAGTGGTTTTCCTAATAAATATACTTCATATATCCTGTTGTCTAACACACGGAAGTCTTTGGAGAGTGCAGTGGAACCATGGGATGTTGCGGTCTTTCCACCTGACGGGTGTCTTAGAACGGGTGGAGTCAGTTCCTGCAGTTTTCCACAGGGTAGCACAGGCTCAAACCTATTGTAGGGGGTGGGATGACGCCCTGAATTCCAAAGCAGCTGTCCATGTGACTGATTCAGACTCTTCTGGTAGAGAACTTGGGATGTAATCCAGTCTGACCAGTTTATAGGCGGAGAAACTGAGGCCCAGAGAGATGATTAGTATTACCAGCAGGTGCCGAGTTAAGCCCAGAATCCCATCACCAGACAGTGGCCACTTATAAAGGCCTTTGCTATGCCTGCTTGCTTTTATCCCCCCATGATATGAAATCCACGTAAGAGATGAGCCATTAGGGTGAGCACGGCAGTGGTATGTGGAATGTGGTGGTGGCGTGCAACTACCACCTTTACTTCTAAAATGTTTTCGTCTAAAAAATCAGATCCAGTTGTCTTCCCTCTGGCCTGTGGCTACCACCCATCGCCATGCTGTTTCAGTGGATATTTCATATAAATGTGGTCATAAATGTGACAATATCTGGCTTCTTACACACAGCTTGATCTCAGTACTTTTCTACATCAGAGCACATTTTTCCTTTTGGTGAGTGAATATTCCACGGTATAGAATACGACTGTTCATCTGTTGACCAGTGCATACACACTTTGGGTCTTCCCTCCCGAGGGACTAAATTCCTGACAAGCAGACGCTGCTAAGTAATAAACATGGTACACTTCTGATTTCTTGGTCTGAGATAAAGTCCTGGGATTAGTTAAGACCAGTTCAGATAAGACCAACTGACCTGGACATATCTCAACTTGGAGCTGTGACCTATCAGCTCTCTTCTTTGTTTAAGTTGACCAATCCAAAATTAGGGTGGGGGGACCCATCAAAAACACTTAAAAAAGGCTCAGTGCTCCTGAGGGTGTTGAAATTTTCAGTTTCTAAATCCCCTTCTCCACTTGTGGAGTGCTTTTCATGTGAGTGTGCATTCTCGTGTGAGTGTGTGTGTGTGTGTGTGTGTGTAATTCCTTTCAGTAAAGTTTGTTACTTCTTGCTTTCGGCTGTGTCTGAGATTTTTTTTTCTGCCTTTTAATTCTTTAATCAGCGGAGAAAGCAAACCTGATCAAGACCCCTGGCCGTAACGCTCCTTCAGACTGTTGTGACTAGTGCTGCTGTGACCACAGACACACACACACACACACACACACACACACACACACACACACATACTCTCATACCATAGAAGTGGTTTTACTTCCTTTATGGTAATTTCTGTATTTAACTTCTTGAGTTTTTTTTTTTCTTGCTGCTGGACTTCAGGGTAGGTTTCAGAAAAGCTGGAAGCATCTGGAAAGAGGACCAAATGTCCAAAGTTGAGAACAGGACACCTGGACCCAGAACAAGGTACCCAGAAGTCCCTCACATGTCCAGCCCTCCATTTTGTCCTAATAATGTTTTTCCATCTTTCAAATGAACAGCCCCATAAGCTAAGTGACTTGATGAAGGTACATGTAGTTCTACAAGAATGAAAGTTTTTTTTCTATTTAGAAACCAGATCTAATCATTGATTTTGGAGGTATGTTTCTTTCCTCTGCAGAACTGAATGTGGTAACTATGCAGGAAAATGCATCCAGTGGCCAGCTCAGCTATAGTGCAGGCAGAGGTACTGGTAGCTTTGGAGCAGAGACTGAACAGTTGTTAACTTACACATATACTAAATGGATTGAGTTTGCTAAAATTTAGAGATGAAAAGAAAAAAGTTAACAGGATACTGTATTAGTCTGTCTTGCTCTACTGTAATGAAAATACCCAACACTGGGTAACTTTATCAAGAAAAGAGGTTCATGTAGCTCACATTTCAGAAAGTTCAAGGGCCCATGTGGTGATTAAGCTTCAGCACACAAACCCTTAGAGCATGCAATTAAATCATATTCAAAATATTGTAGACACTGAGGAGGAGGAAGGCAGGAGAAAGTAGGGTGCAGTGGCCTGGGGTGAAGTGGAGAGCATGCATGAGGGAAGACAGTGTGTTGGCTACTGCTGAGAGGAGGCAGGAACATTGAAAACGCCCCTGGCTCCTGGCATGGTCATGGGCACTGTGATCTTGCTGAGCAGTTTCAGTAGAGGAGTTGGTATCAAGAGATTAGTGTGGGCCTCAGGGCAGGTGGAGGGGAACTGGTACACAGACACTGTTACCTCAGGAACTCTGTGGAGCCTTGTGAACTGAATCCTTGACATTATAATCTAGAAGAGTCTGCCAGGCTTTGGGTCTGCTTTGCTCTCAGACTTTATTCCTGAAGTCATTTCTTGGGGGAAGTTGATCTGATACATGAATCCTGGCTTTCTGAGTTTTCAGGTTGCCTTGGTCCAAGTTTCTCTAGAGTGCTTGGCCCTAGGTGCTCTTTCCTGCCAGACTGATCTCTAAGTGGGCTTTCGCTGTCCGGGAGGTCAGCCTGCATGTTCTGGAAGCCAGGAGTGTGTGGAGCTTCTGGAATGGTCAGAGCAGCAGGTCCCATGGCTGCCGAGTACTGGGAAGGAACTGCTGAGCTCAACTACGACTTTCTTTTATTTATTATTTATTACTATTATTATTTTTAAAATATTTTATTTATATTTTTATTTTATGTCTATGCGTATATTGCCTGCATGTAGGTAAGTGCACCCTTGCCGTACAATGCCTGCAGAGGACAGACGAGGCTGTTGGATCCCCTGGAACTGGAATTACGGACAGTTGTTAGCTGCCATGTGGGTGCTGGGATTCAAACCTGGGTCTTC